GTTAAAAAAGTTTCAAAAATCCAATAGATTTCGTTCCACTTCACAATTGTGTCCCACTTGTTGGTGATTCTTCACATAAAATAAAAAATGTATATCTTTATGTTTGAAGCCTGAAATGTGGCAAAAGGTTGAAAAGTTCAAGGGGGCCGAATACTTTCGCAAGGCACTGTATATCCATCTAACGCTCTCCACAAATAACTAGAGAACATAGTTTTTGTCCTTTACGAGACTTGGATACTTCATAACTTATCTTTGTTTGGGGAAAGAAGGACAATGTTTAAACTTTAGCTTTGTGTTTTCTATTCTGTAGTCCTATGTACCAAGTTCTACTAACTGTACCTTTGGAGTTTTTGCTTCGTTCATCTTTTAATAGGGAGTTAACAGAGGTTTTTATCCTCCTGAAACAGATCCATGTACTTCATTTTACAGCCTTTTAAGTGTTAGGTATTTTTTATTTTAAGTTAAGGGTACACAACATTAAAGCAGCAACAAAATGGCTTGGCAAGCTGATCTCGTTGTCTGAAGAAGGCATAAAATATGAAGTTCCACAAACACTACAGGCATAATATAAAGAAAGGAAGCCACTGTTTAGTGACAGAAAAGATTCCTTCCGACTTCATCTCCCATGATGCCACGAAATACAACAGTTCCTTAAACAACTTCCTTAAACAGTTTCCATCACCAGTTTTAACGATAGTAGCAATTTGATATCTACATCTTTAAATGGTGTTGTTCATTTATCGTATCTTTAAGATGCTGGAAGCTTTGAGTTTCGAACCACGTATCTTCTGTTCTCACTCAGTGCTATTTCCAATACAACCAGAATGACAACACAGCTGCACAAAAGGTAATTAGACCATATGACTTGCAGGAACAAATCTGGCCAAACGATAGGTTACCTCCGGGGTCGAAACCGGTGCGCTCGCTCTTATTTTCTGTGTCCATCGTTCTTTAAAAAAAACTATTCAAAATCCAGTCTCAAGAATGCACTTCTGTAAAGTGAAACAAAAAACTGAAATGGGGCAGGACAGATTGAGACTGCGTCTCCAGCAGGAAACAACCGGACGTCATTCTGATTGGGTTAGACTAGCGAGAAGCTGCGTCAGCGTGCAACAAGAAGCAGAGGTTAAATCCACGCGAAAAAGTAAAAAGAAGGCGTTCTCCAAAGCCCAAGACTTGTCATCTTCCTGCTATCTAATTTTCAGCGTCCATGTGGTTCTGATGAAAAACTATTTATTTTGCCCATTGCCCTGTATGTGAAATATTAACAGCATTACTACTTTAAGTGCCTATAAAACGATCAATCAAAGGTGCAAAATATATACAAATATATGAGTATTACACGTAATAAAGCACTTTATTTTATGTAAAAAGCTTATCATTTCAAATACATCTATAACAGAACTAGTAAAGGTTTATTCATGCTGAAAAGAAAAAGAGACAACGTTTCGGCTGAGGACCCTTCTTCAGGTGTCAAAAGACCTACCTGAACTACATTATATCTATAACTACTTGAATTATACCTACAACAGTCCATCGCATTTCGTGATTTGGAGATTTGTATTATTCTGTTTCTTAAACCAATCTTTTTTTCACGTATTTGCCTACAATATTGCATATGCCGATATGTGGAGAGCAAATGAGAAATTTCGGATTACATTTTGCTCGTCCATCTGCTTTAAGGAAGAAAACAATCTCTCCGCCCATCGGCAGACTGTGGGTCCATACTATTGGAGCCGAATGAAGCCTCGTTCACTTACTATTGGTGGCCCAGCGCGTCATTTTTTTAAAGACTGGATAGGTTCAGACCGGCTCGGCGTGACAGGAAAATGTATCAGAAAATGTGGGTTAGTTAATGTTTGATGCAAGCCCCGTCGATCAGATTTCTTGATTAAAGTAGTATTTTTTAACTTTTATGGTTACCGCCATTAGCGTTTGGTGAGTTAGACGTGTTCAGTGTCCAACAATGTCTTTTACTTCGAAGGTTTTAAAACTCGTGGTGGCGGTCGGGGTCCTAGTGTTAACGATCCAGTTCTTGCAGTACTGGATGGGGAGCAAAAAATATGTTTTTAATAAAGAAGATGTCGCGAAGCTGGCCAAACAGTATGCAGGCAAGTGCAGTGTTCCTAACTTTTTGATCATTTCTTCATATTGTTCATGTTAAGTGATGACGAAAATACCAAAAACATATTTTAAACGCCGGGACAAGTGAAAGAAAACCAGGAGATTTCGCGAAGGTGGTCTGTTCTTGACTAGTTATTATGGAAAAGTTCGAATTAGTTTAGTGGTCTGTCCTGTCACACTGATCTGCGTCGTTGGCTCCTTTAAATACCATTTACGTTTAAATCCTGTAACATACTGATTTTACACAATGCAACTATTTTCAGTAATGCATATATTTAAATACACAAGGCTGTCTTTTTGGCGGCTTTGCCTGTTCACTCTTGCATTATCTGAAAATTCTACTCAGGCAAACACAAGAGTAATCTTTTGGGTTTTACCTGTTGCAAGGTGTACAACCATCCCCGACTCCGCACGTTCCTGCAAGAGAGTGGCGTTTCTCTGTATTATTGAGGGTACTAGTTTTCTGTTTGTTGGGGTATTATACCGTATGTATCTGTTTAAACAGGACTGGATCATGAGCAGGCGTTCTCGAAGGTGGTCGTTGAGCTGAGGAAGAAGTACCCTGGTCACATCCTGCCAGATGAGGACCTGCAATGGGTGTTTGTTAATGCTGGAGGGTGGATGGGCTCCATGTGTCTGCTTCATGCCTCAGTCACTGAATATGTCTTGCTCTTTGGAACAGCAGTGGATACCAGCGGACATTCAGGTGGGAATCCCAACAAATCTGGATTTGTCCGTCTCCTATAAATAAAATGCTTTGCCTCTGCCCTTCCACACGCTTCTGCCTTTACAGGTCACCAAACCTGCAGTTAGAGACTTTGTTTAGCTGAAACAGTTTCTGACTGTATGAGATTTTTTGAAGTCATTTATCTCATTAAGACCCATATATAACCATACAGTAAGTAAAATTAACCTGAAAAAAGTGGATTTCTCCAAGCTCGCTGTTCACACATAAGTCAATATCTTTATCCACAACAGTTGTAGTGGGTTCCTGCTATATAGGGACCATAGTCCAGTGTGTTTTGACTGCATCTTTAAGAGAGCAAATCTACTGCTTAAGACCAGAAAAATGTAAGTTTTTGAGGTAAATGTTAAATTGCCTGTTTGCAATTTGCCGTTGCCTATTTGACACAGTTAGTGTGTAGCAAGAGCAAAGACCAGCATGCATTTGACCAGACGCGTTGAATGAGACAACATTGAAACGTTACTTGTGTAAGTTTACAGTTTACATGCATTAATACTGATGCTCATTCAGCATAATGTTTTTTTCTGACTTTCTTTTTCTTTGGTAGACTGCAGTGCTGTAGTGCTTTGTAGCAATAAGGTCTTTCCAAAGAACAATCAGGTTTTAATTTTAACAGCTCCACAAATAAACCTGTTCTACAGATGAACCTTCTTTTTTTAGGTCGCTACTGGGCTGAAATTTCGGACACCATTATTTCTGGAACATTTAGACAATGGAAAGAGGGGACTACAAAGAGTGAGGTGTATTATCCAGGTGAGTGGGGTGTTCAGTTTATAATTGCATAAACATCTTTAAAACCAATAGTGAAACAATAAGTAGAGGACATGAGTGAATGCTATAAGGAAGTGCTTTTAGAATTAAGGACAGGGTGTGATTTTTTTGCACAAAGAGTTCTGGGTATCTTATACAAGTCTCCCAGTCATGTTGTCTTAAACCCTGTCTTCTGTTAACCGACAGCTGGAAGAGATCCTCCGATCAATTAGCTGCTTGTAATCAAACCAGTTAGTGTGTTCTTGTCAGAGTGGTCAAATCCACTTACTATGTGTCTTAAAGAGTGAAATGGTCAACTAAACACAAAGGTGTAATGCTTAAATATTCTAAATATTTAGAAATGCCATTATCATTTGAAAATATCAACAGTCATGCACAAGGTCATATCGTAGGTTTTTTGTTTTTATTTTTTAAGCTGATCATTTTTTATATTGTATTGGTATGAATGCTCTTGAATGTGTCTTTTTTCTTGTGTGTGCATATTTAAAAGTTTGTTTGATTTATATGTGAAGTCATTCAACAAAATCTGAAAAGTCATTTTTAGAATTCTGGGTTTATTTGTTTATTTGTTCTCTGCGTGAGAACATTACTCTGAGAGGAATACGATGAAACGGTGTGCGTTGCCTATTTGACGTCTTTTCTTCCTGTGTCCAGGTGACACTATCGTCCACGTGGTGGGCGAAGCAGCTTCGGTGCAGTGGAGCGCCGGGACATGGATGGTGGAATACGGGCGGGGTTTCATTCCTTCCACATTGGGGTTTGCGTTGGCTGACACAGTGTTCAGCACACAGGACTTCCTCACACTCTTTTACACCGTTCGAGTGTATATCAAAGGCATGCTCCTAGAAACCAACACATACCTCACCGAGGCTGGGTTCTTTTAAACTCCCTGTGAAGTAAACCACCAAGTAAACTGCCATGTGTTTTTAATGTTTGTTGTGGGTTATTCTGAAGACAATAAAATTTCCAGTTTTTTTGTCATGTTATGAGTATCGGGGCCCACTCAGGTTTTTAAATTCCTTTGGGTGGAAGACTGTGTTCAACTACCAGATGTGGCACTGCTGTTAGACACTTGAGCAAGGTACTTCACTCGGATTGCTTCAGTAAAATACTCAGCTGTATAAATAGGAATAAGTCACTTTTGATAAAATCTATAAATTAAAAATAATTACAGAGGTGGGGCCCGCAAACACTTTGTGCCTGAAAAACCACTGTTTGCAAAAATGTGCATCTCTATTACAGAGGACAGTTAGCCCTAATGAAAAAATATAGAATGGAAAAATAAAATCCCTTATTTAACAGACTAAGCCACCTTGTATGGTTTAATTCTTCAGCATGGTTTCTCAGGCTCCATTCAGAACAGCTTTTCATTGGTACAACCCCCTGAGGCTTAAAACTACTGTTACATTGTAGGTGGCATTGAGCAATGTCTGTCTCTCAGTGGAAGCAGATTGTTTGAATAATGAAGCTCAAAACACCTTTGATGTTGATGTGCCCTGAGGGCCAATGTAATAGACAGTTAGCCATTTATCTACAGGAAAAACATGACCTACTGTCTTTGATTATATATGCAGTCTAGTACCAAGGAAACAATTTGTTTGAATGAGTAATAGAAAATGGTTACTATACAATGTTTTCTTGTTTGAACATTGGTCCTGATAGAAAACTTTGGAGAATCATCTTTGGAATACCTATTATTATTTCTCAGGATCTCGGTTTGACTTACTTTCCCAAAAACACTGTGTAGACACTTATAAAAATCTTATTGCAATGTTTTATTACACTGTGTATGAAGTAATCAAAATATAATTTCTATGCAGTGCATAGGTCACTTAGGCATTTTTGTAATTCTCATTTTTTTAATTGTTTTTTCTATCCAGAATTAAAGGTGATATACACAGCCTAATCCAGATTTGTCAGTGTATTTCACATCTGAGAGTTACTTGTGACTTCCCAGAACATTTGTCTTCAACAAATGTTTAGCTATTGTTATTTACAAACCTTAGTTGAAGGCCTTAATTTGTATTATAGTTTTTAATATTTCATACAATCTGTTAACTACAATATGAGTGCAGCCTGCAGTTAAGATATCTGAATTAACCTAATCTTATTCAAGGTTATTATGGCCTCTTGTGACAATATTAGTAGATTTTAACCAGCTGCACTGTTGTTTGTATAATTGAATGTTATTTTGTAAAACTAAGAAATGTTTAACATATTGCATCAAGCATCTATGTATATCAAAACATTTAGGCTCACTCTTGAAGGGAAATAACTAATAAAATGCTCATTCATACATACTCATATTTAATACTGTATTTTTTTTTCAATTTCAGTACGCATACCAATGTGGTAATCAATGTCATGGGGAAGACTAATCCACTGAAGAAAATGTTAAACACTGTGTAAAAAAACATTTACTTACAAAAGCTTATGGCAGCATTGTTCCCAAATTCCAGAAGTATTTTAGTCCTATTGTTTTGCTCATATAACCAGAAACATTTTTCATTTTAAGCATGCCATTAGTTTAATAAATGTCCTACCAATTGTTTTTTTTTAAACTTGGAGCTTATATCATGTAAGGTTTTATGTTGTCATTTTAATTATTTTCAAATGAGATAAAATGCTGTCAGAATACTAATAAGACATATAAAGCAATTGGTTTAAACAAAACAGATTAAGATAAAGGGGATAGTAAGTCATAACTGTTTACCTATAAGGGGAAACAGAAAAGCAATAAAAACTGCTTCTCCACAATCCTGTTTTAGTTTTTAATCCCCCAACATTTCTACACTAAAGTTAGAGAACAAAGAAACATGAAGTGATTCAGGTAAGGTCAGACGTCTGTGAACGCTGCAAGATTCATTTGTAATAGGCATATGTGATGTACATATGTTGTAATTAAATCACTTGTTTTCATGCTTTTAGAGGCCATTTGCCCAATGAGGCTCATGTGGTTGTAGTTAATTTCTTGAAAGAAGCCAGGGTATTGGCTTCAACCATATGGCTCAGTTTATACCAATGTAATAATCTACCAAACCCTTGTACTGGAATGCTGATAGATTGGTAGTCACCTGTGTACAGCACTGATGATGTTATAGGGAGAAAATAAACTATTCAATTCAATAAGAATGTATTCACCAACCCTATGGCATTCAGTCCTGGTAATGCACAATAAAGCAAGTTTTCTAGCTGTCTTTAACTCCTCAACTGACTTGGAAAAAGGCTGGTAAGAATCAGCCAATTAACCAGTTTAAGTTTGTTTGATAAAAAACCCGAGAGCACATATAGAAACTCGAATTCGCTGCAGCAATAGAGGACCAATCAATCTAGAATCATTCTCGGTAGCCCTGTAACAAAGATTTATTTGATCAGTTGGCCATTTTTCTTCTCAGTCTTGTAACAGTTTTTAAGTGTTAACTAGAAAATGTTTTGTGTCATCGATCGTTGTGACCTTCACTCCTCAACAGGAAAGGGTTTGTAACAACACGATTCCTGCTCCGCTTCATGTTCAAGTTTCGAAATATGGATTTCATATCAATTCGTATTGATCACAGTTCTAAACACCATAAGGTATATCGTGTATAAATAAATTCACACTTAAATGCTGACCGGATTATTTAATTTAATAATTAACACAAAATAGTTCACTGCTACCAAAAAAGACTTAATAAAGTTAAGTATAAAAATTCCGTCTATTTCTAATTAAAAAATCATGCAAATATTTTTGACACGCATAAGGAACATTACATTTTTACTCTCCCCACATAGCTAAGCTTATCCTATATTTATACTCTCAAATGATTGCGGGATGCAATAAATTTACTTTACTCTTCACAGTAAAGGTCAAACCCTATTAAATGTTAACGTTGGTTAGAAGCCAGCCATTTAAGGCTCTGCACTCGTACGCACCTGGCGTACCTTAGGAGGTTTCAGTGTAGACTGACCGAGTAACTAAACTACGTAAAATGTAGGTTTACGCTACGAACTACGAAGAGCACGTATAATGAATGGAAGGCGGAGTGGAGGATTTCCTTCTTGCATGGGGTTATGCATTTGAATTTGAATACATCGCGAAGAAGTTGGAAAACGTAACACATGACAATGGAGCTTTCTTATCAAGCCATCAAAACAGCAAATCAAGTGAGGGAGGCGGTGAGTGCGTGCAAATTTTGTTATCAACACTGAATCTTTCGCTGGTAGGGCTCATATAGTTTTTGCAGTAAGTAGTAAGAAGTGAGTCAGAGGTATTTGTATGTGCTACACTGTAGTAAACGGAACATAACGGGTTCGGTATGAACTCTTTTATGTTAGCCTCAGAGAAAAAAAGACTCGTTGAAAATCGCAAATTCTCATTTTAAAATGTAAATGGTCATAAAAAAATCTCGACTGTGATGCAGGAAAGCATGAACGTGTTCTCTGGAACCTTTTCTCACAACTACGGAAATACGTTAAGAAACTGTTTACTTTCCACACTTTCTACTCTTTATAGACATATAAATGGAGTCTTTGGTTGCCTTGGTAATCCTTCACTGTCACGTGATGTTGTGTCATTTCAAGGCGCAGATGCGAGATTCAGCGCCATCTGTAGGAGACGCTGTCGAACTGTATCGTATGCTGTAAAGCACAAAAGTTTACAAATATTCTTGGTCCAACATGCATTATTTGGGTGATTTTGGACTTAAAATAATTGAGCTACGAAATTCGATGAAAACCCATGATTTTTGTTCGCTTTTGTAACTGTTCTCTATGCTACGTATATTATATTATACTAAGAATTTAGAAAAAATCCAGAAAGGTTTGGTTAATTATTTTTAAATTGTCAAACCAAGTAATTAATGTATTCAGTCATGTTGTCTTGGCTGGTATTCAGACTATTATGACCACTAGGTCTCTTTTTTTCACCAAAAGTAAAGTCTGGATTCATCACTTTAAATGGAGTTGTACTGGAAAATCAGAACTAACTAAACTACTAGATTCTAGTTTGAGCCCACGCATTTTGTATGGGATATCCGAGAATTCTGTTAGGCCTTTTTACTGCTTTCCTGTACTTTGTGGATGTTGTCAATGTAAGTTGTCATGTCCTGTTCAAGTTCAGTATTCATACTCAATTAATTTTAAGTTTATTCTGGCATGACTTGACTTAAATACTTTACATTTGTTTACATTAATTGAAATTCTGTATCTATTCATTTCTGGAGGTGGTCTGAATCCTTTTGAATTTCCAGCACTGCTGTTGTAGTGCCAGTCATCATCCTAATTTTGCAGATCTTCGAATGTTCAGATCAAAATTTGGTAGTTTTAAGTTTCTAGGCCCTTGACCTATCAAAGAAAAATCAGAGCAGCTAATAAAGACTTTATTGTTACGAAATAGAAAGGGAAACAAAATTATCAGAAAATGTAACTATATCACCATAAGTGGGGTTATTATAATTTAAACAGTGATAATGATGAAGATGGTGATAGCACTAGTGATTGACTGGTGCCAGAGTGACTTACAATAAAACAAGGTTGCCTAGCAAAAAGGGAACAAGAACTCACAAAATTATAACAACATACCCTGTTATAAAAATAAAAAAATACAGTAATAAATGAACTAAAATTGAAATATGGGTAACGCAAAGGCTCAAGATGAGATTCAAGGTACATATCAATAGTTGGTGATCCAGGATCAGATGGCTAGAGACCCATATTCACGATACACCAGCTAATCCCCAGTGGACTGTTTCAACATCTGTCACAAAGCTTCTCAGAAGCTGTGTTTTGCCTTACTTAGTCTAAACATAATGGCCCAAAGCTGCACAGACCATGTGATGTTATAAGCAGTAAGCAGAAAACATAATAGGCTCAACAGGAAATTCAAGACTGTATGCATTGCTCCTTTTGTAATAATTTGAAATTGTAATAAAGAGATGAGTTCTTATTGTAAGTGGTGCTGTATGGATGTAACCATCCATGGTTTATTGCTGACCATCCAGTATCTACCAGTACCATGGAGATCAAGATTCTCTGAAAGGCATCAGAATTCTTTCATTAATTTATTATGTGGATATCTAATTCAAACACTCCTGAAAAGCACCGATCACGTCAACTTGGGAAATGTTTTCAAGACCAGCAGAAAACACAGGAACACTGAGACAGAAGTGGGAATTTAACTTTCGCATAATTTAAGACAGAGAAGAGGAGACAACTTTTCAGCTGTGTGGCTGAAGATGACTCGGGGGGGATCCTTTAACAATCCTTTATCCTTTAATGAAAAGATCATTTAGCTACTAGCTACGAAAAAAGCAAGAGCACCAACTGGTTCCCTCCTGTTTGTAAGCATTCTTCTGATCTTACTGTATTTCTCTTGCATGTGCAGGATGAAATGAAAACTGAGGCCAGAAGAAGAAATCTGCTGATTCTCATTTTCCATTACCTGTCGGAGGAAGGGTAAATAACATGGATAGTATTTAATTTTCTAGCATTATTATTAAAAGCTTGAATTACTTTGTTGCTAAATGTGACAAGAGTGTTTGGCATTACTGGTGCCATTTACTGAATGTTGAAGGTTAAAAGTTTTAACTGAAATTTAAAGGTGAAAAGTTATTTGTTTGTCTTCCTCACAGGTATTTGGATACAGCTGGTGTACTCGAACAGGAGACTAGTTTAAGCTTGCGTCGCTTTGAAGTCTGTGACAATGTAGACTTAGAGACTATCCTCATGGAATATGAAAGCTACTACTTCATTAAATTTCAGAAATATCCCAAGCTTACTAAGAAATCATCAGAATCAGGTAGGTAGTTAGGTTAAATTGGCCTCTTTAATTCTGTTATTTGTGTTTATACAGCAGAATATTTCCTTTCATTATGGATTTACAAAATTGCTGGATGTACATTCATTGATAAATACTTAAATAACATTTTAAAATGGTTGGTGTTAAGTTTTAATCTTTTTTGAAAGTACAGGGATTCTGTAATGTGACTTTTGCAACTGAATGGGCTTAGATGTCTTTGTTAATTTCCAAGATGGTAGACTTAATGTCTGTATATCGCTCTTGATATATTTTATGTGTCTTTTCCGTTTTAGGAGAAACCAGGCAACCACGAATCAGTGGTCGATTAAAGAGGTAAGGGGAATTTTAATTTTTGTATTTTCCTCTGGTTACAAAATATGTAGAGAAGTTTTAAATTCATTAGAAACAAGAGGAGGTCATTTAGCCAAGTCAGATAGTCTGACCTTTAGAAGTCTATCTAGTTTGTTTGCCCACTAGGGGCTAACTGGTCTCATCCAGCCGCTTCTTGAAAGAATCCAGGGTATCAGCTTTGAAGACATGGCTGTGCACAGTATCTTGTTCTGTACTCCCACATTTTTTGTATAATATAAAGTAACTCAGGTTCTAAGTTTCAGATGCACTTTTCCTTGGTTTTCACTTGTGTCCTCTGGTTCATGTTGCACTGTTGATCCTGAAGATGTTTGACCTAGGTTTTGAATTTATTTTTAAATACTTCAGTCAAGTTTCTTATTGTCTTCTCTGTTCATCAAGCCTGGAACGATTCAGGTGTTTTACTCTGTCTGTGTAGGACATTGGTATGAGCCTGGGGATTTACCATATCTCACCTTTTTGTACCATCTTATTATGTAATGACCAGAATCATACAAAATATTTTAAATAATGTCTTACTAAGCAAATAAAAGGCAATCCATGAGTCATCCTTGTTTGAGCAAAGCCAAGCATGTGCATACAGTACAATAATGTACAGGGTGTCATCATACTGGATAATGACCACCATTTCAACAATCAATCTATCGTGTCAGAAAATGTAGTGCTACATTCACAGAAACATCTAAAAACTTCAAAAATGAAAGTTTGGCAGGGAAGATAATCTCTTCAGACTCATATTTCACCTGACTTTCTGTCCAGGTGTAATTTATTTTTTGTGTAGATGTATTTTTTGTGGAGTCATGTCTACAACAGAATTTGAAAGTAGAAGAATTTGTAGAGGTAAATTGTGCTGTGTTGAAAAGCTAGTGCCATCTGTTTACTTTACCTGTAAGTACACAGTGTGTTTACTATAATGTGTTATCTTACAGATCCTCTAGCTCTGTAACACACACACTGCCCAGGATAAATCAGACCCACCGCCCCAGTTCTAAGTTGGGTGCAAAGAAGACTGATCCCAAAATTACAGCAAAGGACACCAGTAAAGTTGTGAGTGTTTCTGTCATAATCTGTACATCATCCTGGGCTCAGTATTGGTGGGCTTCACTTTCCTTTTTTCCGTCAACATCTACAGTAGGAGAAAGCTTAAGGTGTTCTAGTTTATTATTGGATTACTGCTATTTCTGAAAGACTAGCACCTCCGGACAACAATTAGCAAAGAATTTATATAATTCAAACACTCCAAAAACCAGTGTTACACTTTAATTTATTGATGAAAAGGATTTAATTGTATACTATAGTTTTTATTTGGGAAATTAACTGCTGTCTAGAAATTCTAATAAATGTGCTTTCTTTTTACCGTCAAATACAACATGTGAAATAACTGCATACAGTGTGGGTAAAGGTTTTCTCAGATATGGGTAAAAACAGCAAATAAAACCAATCTCATGACAGCATGAGAAAAACTGCAAAGAAGTGGGTATCATTTGCCTCATAAGCAATTGTGTGCTTAACTTTGTGTTTATCTCATACAGCATGTGCACAATAACTAATAAGTACTTAGCCACTTTACCATTGTTTATGTTTCCATGGAGAACAAACCCTAAATGTAAAAAGGTACTATGCTAATAATAGTACCTATTCAATGTTGTGTAAACAGAATTCGAGATACAGATACTTTGCAAAGTACTTCAAGTTTACAAAGGACACTTTTTGACTTTAAACAAAAGGTACTGGGAACAGACATTGATTCAGGTGAAATCTTCAGTAACCTATGGATGAAAGACCTTTTGAAATGGCTTTTGAAGAGCACCAGTGAATCACTTTCTACAGGAGTGTCCCGTCCATTTCTGGTGCTCTGCAGCTGGTACAGTATATTTGCAAGTTGTGAAGGACACTTTAAAGAACCAGCATCTAGAGAGCTGAGGGAATCTGTTAAATTGCTCTAGTCCAGTGATTACCTCAGTTAAGAGCTGATTTGGAATGAAAACTACCTGTAGATACAACATTCTCCCCATGGCCAGAATCGGACATCCCCATTCTGTAACATGACAAGGAAGTTTGTTTCAATCAGTGTTTTTCTCTTTGCAGGAGAATGGGCGGTTAACACCCCCAGAGACGGCTGATTTCGGATTGAACGTCTCCCCGATCAGTAGAAATGGGGGAGGGGAGGGTGCACATGCTAAAAAGGTAAATATTGCTATAGAACTGCAGAAACAATCCCTACACACTCACACACATATACTGTAGACACACAAACACACATATATTCACACGAATACATACACATACAAACACGTGTGCATACACACCCAAATGTATACACACGCGCACACTACTTTATGTTACTGATCTGTCGTTCTCTGAAAAGTTTTACTCTATTATGCCAAATGTGTAATCCAGTTAAACATTAAAGTAAGCATGCCCTTACATTCACAGACTGAAAAACCTTCACACTCTTTGTGAATAATGTAGTGAAAAATCAATTCTGGCAAAGCGTGTTTTGAGTCACTTAAACAACAGTTAATAAAATATAAAATATATCTTCTTGTATTAAATTACAGTTTGGTCTGTGTCTGTGTTCCCCTTGGTCATGAAAAAGGTCATGTTAAAATGTCAAAAATAACAGCAAATGACAAACTAACAGCTGCTGGTTTGCTCATACTTCCTTGTTGGTGAAGTCAACATGAGTCAGTTCCTGAAGCACAAATGTGTGCAAGGGAATTCTGCCAAGTGGCTATACAGGGACACCTTTCAAAAGCTTTGCTTAAAATGTCTGAAAAATCAGATAATGCTATTAATTATATAATTAATGCTATTGATGCCTCTTGACTGGATATCTTCTATAAAAAATACTTTAGAATTAAACATAAAATGCATAAGACACACAGCATGTGCTTTGTCACTGCATTATTCAAGAGCTGACTTCCTTTTTCTTTGCTGTGAGAATTAAAACATACAGTATTCACTCAAGCTCCCAGGGTTTTTTCTTTGCTCAGGGCCAGCTGATTGACTATCGTGGGTTGATTCAAGATGCTGTTAAAGGAGCCTCTAATGAAATAACAATGAATGGCTTGATCAGTAACCCAGACCCTTCGGTAGGTTGTCACCCTTGTGAATTCTGATTGTGACCAAACCATAAGCAGATCTAATTTCTAAAGATGTGGAAAGAGATACAATTGAAATGATAGGTGGGAGTGATTATAAAAAGAAGAATGCTATAAAGAGTTATCCAGAAACATCAATATCCTAAGCACTCCTTCAAAAGAAACTACCTTTGCAAGAAATAATGTAATTCTTCTTTATTCAGGAGACCCTGCTTAAATTCAAAACTCTGCTTAAATAAACATACACCAAAAAAGTTCTATAAAGAAGTTATCTTTCAACTTTAGGAAATAAAAATAAATTAAAACAGCAACATTCCCACAGTCCTTAGCAGTAAATCTTAGTGTCTACTGGTTTCTCTGCTACATAACAGCACCAGTTTTTAAAGAAATAGAAGAATGTAATATTGTATGGTACTGTATGTAATCTGTATTTTAGTAATTTTGCTTATTCTGAATGAAAAAGCACAGATACTATCTTTAGGGCAAATGAGCTTTCTTTGATTTGGGCCCAAAGAATGCCTTAATTTTTTATATATTTCTTTCGTGTAGGAGCGCCTGATGAAGCCTATCAGTGCCTTCAGCGGAATGAACAGTGAGATGAGAGAGCTGGCGGCTGTAATAAGTCGGGTGAGACGGGCCATGAAAATGGCTTCCCAGAATGATAATTGTTTTGTTGACAAGGTTAAAAGCTGACTTCAGTACATTGAAATTACTCCAGTCTTCATATGTTTTAAAATGTTTGAGCCAAAAATGTACAAGAAGTAGAGGTTAAAGGAAAAGTAGAAGAAAAAGCACAGATTTAAAAATCTCTGTCAACATATTTGTGACGGCAAGAGCTCACATCCAACTGTGACCATGCGGGCAAACATGACATTCAAATCCTGTAGGTCATATGCCCATCTAGTGTCCTACTCAGGAAGAATTGACATTTTCAAGTCTTCAGCAGCTTGGACGCACCACCTTTGTTTAAGGGGGTCTCAGACTCAATTCCTGGATGGTCTTCTGGTTGAGCTGCACAAAGAATTAGCTGTAGGACTTGGGTCATGTGTGCAGATGGACAAACAGTTGGATAAATCGAGAATACACTTTCCACTGATCTCCCACATCACATCCTGAAATTATTCTCTGGTGGTCTTGAGCCTGGAGGTCAGAGAATGATGGACAATGGGATGACAGTACAGTACTGAACAGTCAGGTGACTTGTTCAGGGCATGAAAAAGCTTCATGTTGAGTATAGTGTTAAAGCAATCCCAGAAACATAATGGAATGTACAGTATGTATATTTCAGAACCCTTATCAGTCTCATTATGCACTGTAAGTGTATTAAAGTATAGGTAAAATCAGAAATTTAAGAATTATTATAACACAGACCCAAAAGGTTTAGACAGTAGTTTGGTCTTAATGTTTTTACTACTATGGATTTACTAATAAAGAAAAAAACATAGGGAGAGTTATATCTAAAAAGGATGTGTGGAGAATTTTGCTGTTGTACCATTAGAGGGCAGAAAAGAACCATTACTGTTGTGTTAACGCTGCAGCACATTCTGGTTGCACTGGAAGGATCTGTGTTAACGCAGTTCTAAAACCATTTACTGCCTGTCTTCTTTTAAAGGATATATATTTGCACAACCCAAATGTGAGGTGGGAAGACATAATTGGAGTGGACGCAGCAAAGCGTTTAGTCAAAGAAGCTGTTGTCTATCCTATTAAGGTAAGGAGGTGCTGATGCTGATGGTATTTCTTAAATTGCTCTGGAGATGTGTTATATATTGTACTGTATGCCCACTAAAAGATACAGGGAAGAACACTGGAGTTATTTCTTAGTGCATGCAGGGAAAGAAAACTTCTCATGGCAGAGTATTTTTGCTTGATTACTGTACTTATATAATCAAATGTGGAAGAATATTTTCCTAGTAGAAAGAATAATATATACTCCTATGAGTTGCTCCTTCACTTTTAACTGAGTAGAAATAAAGCAATGAGAAATATAATGCACATATATATTTAATTCTGAATTATTCCTTTTCCTCACATTAGTATCCCCAGCTATTCACAGGCATTTTGTCTCCTTGGAAAGGACTGCTGCTCTATGGACCTCCAGGTATTTAGGGATTGACTGACAATAAGCTATGAATTGGATCGCCTTAATATAACTGTGTTAGTTCACTGTTTAAAATACCATACATTGAGATAGCAGGATTATGTAGCAGAGTTGTGATTACATCTGTAGTACTAGGCTTACATTCACTAGGTTTGCATACAGGCTTACGACACAGAAAACTACTTTTGTAGGCAGCTCTACCTGTATAGAATAAAAGAGCAGAAAATGTGAGCTAAATTCAATACGTTTAAAGCCTTCATTGTAAGCCCTACTAGATTACTAGATTCTTTACATTATTTGACTTCTGTGGTTTTTTATAATGAAGGAAAACAGAATGCCGTTTTTAAGGTGGTAGTTGCTTTCTTTCCCTGTCATTAATGTGAGTTTAATACAATATCTCTATATATGGTTTCCACTCACCTGAAGTGTCTTGTCTTGTAGGCACTGGAAAGACACTGCTTGCCAAGGCGGTGGCCACAGAATGCCACACTACGTTCTTTAACATCTCCGCATCCAGCATCGTTAGCAAGTGGAGGGGGGACTCTGAGAAGCTGGTTCGAGTAAGGTTGCACTGCTCTGTACTTTCCTGGCAGGGGTTTCTAACACTTGCATGCCTCCCGTCTTGTTAGGTACTTTTTATGAATGATTCTTTATTCTACAACAATTGCTGTTTGCCTTCCAACCTCACTTTTACAGGAAGAAAAGAGCGTCCAGAAACATTTCTCCAAAGTAATTGGCATGACGATGTGAGAATAACTCAGTTCAACTTCATATTCAGCACTCTTTTTCATGATTAATGTGTGAAGTGCAGTTTTCTGGACAGGAGTGTGTAGTCACTATAGAACCCCAAGTTTGGTGACTGGTGGCATGTTGACTTCACAGCATCAAGCTAATCAATTCCAGGTGTTTAATTAAGCTCTTTCTCTGGGCTCATGCGGACATGACATTTCAGCAGGAAATTCGTATCATGCTGGTGTAACAATAACTTTCTTGTGACATTAGAATACTATGTTGGCCCTGCTCACCTAGACTTCACCGCTATTGACATCCTAGTGGCTTCTAGGGATCAGAAACCTGCAAACAGGCACATGCTTGTCCAGGCTTTAGGAGAAGAATGGGAGAGAATCCCACAAGGCAGCATCTATAGCCTGGTCCAAAGCATGACTGATTCTAGTGGTAGCTACATATGCTACAAATCCGTGACTGTCTTGGTTGACCACCTATTGATCAAACCTTCAGATGGCAAATTAGAATTATTTATCACATGTTTATTCAGTAAAATATCAAATCACCTGTTACAAAAGATTTTGTCATTATCCTGATAACTTTGTGAATTATTTGCAGTTGTTTCGATGCCCTGTGTATGTTTTATTTCACTTATCATTTCTCTTGTAGCATCAGTTAAGTTAAAGGAAATACTGTTGTAAACCTTTTTGACCATATATGTTGTCATTTGATGCTCATGATGGAAACATCACAAGGATTATATATTTTCCACCTTCATAATATTGCTTGGTAATGGTCTTTGCTCTTTCCTTGTATTTTTGATACAAATATTCAGCAATATCTTTATCATCAAGGTTTGACTGCTCTAATGCCTAACTTACTGGGATATTTACGAAGGTAGTTTCTTGACTTCAGTATGACCAGAAACTGATTGAAAATTACTCTACATCTGCACACTTTCATCCTTTATAATTACACAGCCACCCTAAAAAAATTCAAATGGATTTTAAGGTTTTTCTGCTTATATATACAGTATATATATATCAATGCCGTTGTGACTTATCTGGCTATAAGCAGCTGTAGTAGTTCTAGTATTCAGGCTCAAAACTCATTTCACACTCATGTTTTTTTTTCATTGCATTTTATCTGTAGGGAAGATACAATAAAGGACTAGTCTCTACTAGTCCCAGAATGAAGCATTTTACAGTATATGACAAGAGGGACTTGAACTGTATAAATGAGTTAAAATCAAAGTTTCAGTTAATGAGACTCACCTGGTTCCTTGTGATCCAAGGACCTCATCAAATCAAATATTCTTGAAAGAAATTGCATCTGCAGAATGATTGGGGTAATTTTACTCCATATACCAATGCACCAGCACAGCATGTGAGGATACCTCCCAATGCTAAGCATTAGATCAGGCCCCACATAATCGCTATTGGTTTATATGAATAGCATGTAAATTAACCACCCATAAGGGAATAATACTGTTTATGTATGTGACAATATACAGCCATTCTATTTATTCACAATTGGGAAGAAAATTTGCACTTGGTGACCACATTGTGCTTTGTTGATAGTTCGCTCACACTGTTGCACAATCCGTGTGACTAGGTGAGAGTAGGTGGGAAACAGCAGCTGCACTGGTAAGCATAATTATCTCCACAACATGTGTAAGGAGCAGGATCGGTCAATTCCTCTTCTCTTTATCTTCTTCTCTGTGTTCACACCCTGGGGTAATAGAGCTCGGTGTAAAGTATTTTCCTGTGGTGACAATCATGAAAAATGCCACTGTAAAATAAGCATTTTTTCTTTTCTTAGGTACTCTTTGAACTGGCCAGGTATCATGCCCCTTCAACTATTTTCCTGGATGAGCTGGATTCTGTGATGGGTCAGAGGGGAACTGGGCCAGGGTATGGGACATCTCATTAATAATTTGTAGCCAAAGTGAAGCAGTCTTGTTTCTGCTTTATGACTAAATGAGCTACTGTCTTTCTCCTGGGCATATTTCTACCTGCTGCTGAGATAAAGACCAGATGAAAGTGCTCCCATACTGTAAGTTCCTGTGACCCCCCAGAGTGGTATGAAATGGCTATGATGTTCCTAGCTCTCGACTGAACAGATGTTAGGTTATAATGGGAACCACATTGCTCTAATTACTCTCCAGGAGTGAGAAGTGTAATAAACTAAATAAATCTCAGTGACATTTCCTATCTCAAGCAAGTAAAAATGAATTCAATTTTTGTAGTGCTCAGTATCATCTTGGACAACAAAACTGATTTGTAAAATGTCATTGGTAGGTGCCCTGTGCCTTTGCCGTAAGCACCCTGTAAAAGAAAGATTTACAACTTATAAGGTGAAGTAGACATATTGTGAATGACTGCATGCCTAAGCAAACAAGGGCTTTTCAGTTTAAGAGTCATTTGCAGATATAGACTAGGCAAAAGAAAAGATTGTAAAGATGAGCTATGATGGACTGGATAGCCTTTTTATTGTTCTTCAATTTTCTTAATTACATAAATACAAAAACAACCTATTGTATCTGGGATTTACAATGATGCAATGCATTTAAAACCTATGCAACAAAAGACCAATATGGCTAATGTGTTTCAGGTAGTGTATTACTCTAGTTATACTTTGATAAAAACCTTTAACAATATTTTTTTTGCCTTTTTCCTGCCTTCTCCTTGTTGTTGAACTTTGACTACCACCTTGACATAATGCATTTCATTCCTGACATGCATCATCGTCTATTTTGTGTGGTTCAGACTGTTTTGAATTAAATGGTATACATGTTGCTTACAAATCATTTTAGCTGTCTCTTAAAACTTTGGTTAGGAAATGCTAAAAAAGGTTTTTATCTACTTCTCAGTGTTAAGCGTTGCATAGTCCCCTCAGTCCTTTTGGATACTGTGCTGTGTTTTAAGTGGCCACTGGTTATTGAGAAGCACACTAAAAACAGATGGATGAGTAATGGGACAATGTGGCGCACAGACAAAATTCATCATAATGAAACTTGTCTTGCTATCAGAGTTTGAGGCTGGGAGTAGTCCAGTAACTCAGTCTTGTGTTTCTCTTTGGTCCCTCAGGGGCGAACACGAGGGCAGTCGTCGAATGAAAACAGAGCTTCTTGTTCAGATGGATGGCCTGGCACGGTCCGATGACCTCGTCTTTGTGTTGGCTGCATCCAATTTGCCATGGTGAAAAATTCCTTCCATTTAAAATAAAAGGCCAGATTCAAGAATCCTGCCATATTAGAATGAGAAACTCTGACCCCACCCAAAAGAAAAAAGATTAGTAATCAACTTGCAGTACTTCTATATCCTTAGTATATAGTCTTCTATATATATATGCATTGGCCCTACAGTATGTAATTCCATGGGACAGTGTCTGTTCCACCTTTTTAGTGCTATAGCTCTATGTCAAAGCTGTTTGGTCTAGAATGGTAACTCTTTACAGTTGCGCCTCAGTGTTTAGAATGAGGGTTAAACGTGGTGTGGAATTTCTTAGGTTTTCATATACAGATTTTCTTCCTCCATTGGGATGGAAGCTGCAGTCAAATGATGTCCAATCTCAGCCAGAATCAGAACTTGTACACTTCCCTTGTTGACTGCAGTGACTTTGCTGACAGAGTGATTCAGTATATTAGACTTTAATCCAACCAAGCTCTTTGGGGATGCAGGGAGCTGGATCATGCCATGCTTCGCAGATTAGAGAAGAGGATTCTCGTGGGCCTGCCAAACAATGAGGCCAGGCAAGCAATGATTAGCCACTGGTTGCCTCCATCCAGTAACACGGGAGGTGTGGAACTACGGACTGAATTAGACTACAGCCTTCTTGGACAAGTAAGAAAAATGAGCATCTACAATACTAGATTCAATTTTACATTTGTGTCGAATTACCAGAGATTTAGGATTTTTCCTATTTAAACATGAATATTCCATTTCATTTAGGAAAAAGTTAGTCTAACAAGATTATTTTCAAATCAAATCAAATTGTTATTTTTTGTTTACAGTTGCTTAATTTGCAAGTGATATACCCTTTGACTGGTTTTATTCTGTAGTGACATTTGACAAAAGTGGGATTTAACATTCAGAAACTCATTCTTCATTTAAATTACTTAATTCGTAGCTTTAAAGTTTAAATTACATAATTAGAGATCTATGGGGGAAGCATTTTTATTAAATGTTTTTCAGAAGTGTTCATGAATTGAACAGATGCAAAAAGACAGGCATTCGAACTTCTGTCAATTGAAATTAAAAATAACTTTTGATATTTCTTTCAGGAAACGGAAGGTTATTCTGGCTCTGACATAAAATTAGTGTGTAAAGAAGCAGCAATGAGACCTGTACGAAAAATATTTGATGCCCTTGAAAATCACAATGCAGGTAGGCATGAGTTCTTACACTACGATCTTCCTTTCTGTGCGCAGCTTTCAACCATCCTGGCCATTTGCCTACTGCTTATGGACAGTTGATATAACTGTTTGCATATCTGATTTCTTCTTTGGTATTCTTGCCTCATCCATATATTTTGCAAAAAAAAGCCATTTACTTAAGGAAGTTTGAGAAAGTATTCTGACCTGTTTTTAAAGGTGAGGAAGCAGTACTTTATTGCACACAACCGCATAAGCTTGTAATTAAAGTATCGTGCATGTTAATCAATGGTTAAAGCTTTTCTTTGGGTGACTTTGGAAACACAACCTTGTATGATGCCCATTAGATGCTATACATGCCATGGTACACTAGTACATTATTCAGATGAGTTTCTGAATGAACAGCTCAACTGTGAAGTACAAAACATTTTTTTTATGCCTTTCAGCATGAAATGAACCTTTGCTTTTTCCTTATTATACATCGTCATATTATGATGATACTCACAGGAACCCCTGTCTCATTTATTTTCTTACTGACTGCAGGTAACACAGAGATGCCTGTGCTGAAACTGGAGACTGTGACCACAGCAGATTTCCTGGACGTCATTGCTCACACCAAACCCTCTGCAAAAAGCTTGAATGAAAAATACATGGCATGGCAGAACGAGTACGAGTCAGTGTGAACACGCTATGACTGTGTGAGACTTTTAAGAAGAGATGTACGTTTCCTTTGACAACATGCTCATCTAGGGGACATCTGAAGTGCAAAGAGGCTGCTGAAGTGTAAAGAATATAAAGGCCACGTTTTCATTCCAGGATAACAAAGCCTGATGTACAGTGGCATTTACAATGCATCTCTATATTAAAGGCTGATGCTGTTGAGTTGTAAACTGTTTTATCAACTCAAGCACTTTTAGGTTTTTAACATTAAAATACGCCACTTAGGACTGATTCTTAGTAGTATTCAATTGATACTTTTACACTTATAAATTATACTTTATCATTTATATGATGGTTTCCTCAATATTTTTCACTACACATTACCTTGGTAAAATGTAATTGGATGAATGACCAACGGAAATCATACAGTCTCTTTCTATACAGTTATCAAATTCAAGCATGAGGAAAATAGGCCTCTTTAACTCAGCAGCATCTTAAGAGCTATGTAGCTCTGGTAAACTGCTCAATTTAATACCAAAAATTAGTTCAGCTGAGGTACTGAGTGCTGAGCTTCAGAAAAAGCTGCCCTCCATGACTAGAGTTAGACACTCCTGTCCTTAGATTTTATTCAAAACCATTCTTAAGAAGTGTACCATTTACTGCACTGACTTGACTCTATGCATCTATTTGTTAACGTGACTAGTTCATACTATGTTATAGTTATAAATTACTTGAATGTTCATTTTTTTGTTTTCTTAACCTAGAGTAGTATACATATAAGAACAGGGAAAAATACTGTTTCTGAAACTAACAAAATAAAGTGAAAAGAACAAGATATTGTTCCACTTGTGTATGGATAAATTACACTAGAAATTATAGAAATTATTTTACTTGTATCACAAGAATTCAACAAATCCCTATGTGTTATCCAGCAATCCATTTATTACTAGCCCATGAAACAATATTTAGTACCTGAAACATTTAGCCTATACATTGCCTTTTTTAATATTTTATAAATCAGTGTTTCCTATCTACCAGATATATCTAAATAAGGAAAAGGCACTGAACATTAACCTAGGGACATCATGTTGTATGTACAGATTAAGCAAATTTCAAACATACTGTATGTTAAATGAGATATTTATTACTTCATACATACATGTACTTCATAATACATGCCTGGCATAATTTGACAAAGAATAACCCACTAACAAGCTTCAGACAACTGCAAGGAGCAAAATGATCTTTACCATTTTCCTGCTTATTTTAGGTTTTGAAGTATATGGTCTACAGCTTGAAGGAAGCTGTCACAGGTCAGATAGGGTGGTGGGTTTATTTTTACTTCATCTCCTTGTCTGTATTTTCCTGAAAAAAAGCAAACTATGTATTAGTTACATCATGTCTACTCACTTTTATTTCTTCGATGGTTCAACAGTTTTTTAAAAAAAATCCTTTCAAATGCAATATTCAAAAAGGAACATCAATTAGCAGAAGCACAAGGGCACTATAACATTATCTAGGAACTGCAAAGATGGTATCAATGGAACAGCTAATGTGTTTGTAAAACATCATAAATAAGTTCAGCCATTGATACTAGATATACTGTACGTTGGCCTTTTTTACTACATCTTCCTGGCAAAAAAAAGATGCCAGACTGTTAATCAGACTGTTATGGTGCATTTAAAAATTATTGCTGACACCCCACTTACCTGTTTTTACTAAAATTCCCATCATTCCAGAGTTTTGGGCTCCTCCAATGTCATCTCGTACATCCTGTTGGCATAAGCAGAAATATTGTTCTGGTGAAACAGATGTCTGGATGTGTATAAAAAGCAACATCATTAAAACTGAAAGCAGGCTCTTAAAACATGCAATGAAATTGAAAGTTCCACATGTTCCTTGTGTGATGCATATATACAGTCTATTTCATAGGTAAAAGCTAGCTAGGTCATGCTGATGAACACTAATAAAAACCCTTATATATAAACCAGGTTTTATGTCCTCATTATTTTATATATAATATCACATAGAATGTCATAAATGTTACTTTAAGGTTTTTCACAAATATTATTTTCATGTAAATGTTTATATGGGGTATAAAACTCTTTAAATAACTTAAATCCCTGTGGATTAATATTTTCATACATTTTATACTGACCCTATAGTAGTGGTTTTTGGTTAATATTTTTGCTTCTTGATTTACAATCACAGTCAATACCCTAACACATTAACCAAATACAGTTAGCTTGCACCTAACACGCACATCACCAATCATGATGGCTTCTTCGGGTTTACAGTCTAGGTTTCGGAGCGCCTCGAGGAAGAATGTTCTCTCTGGTTTCCCCACAACTGTGGCCTTAGTGTCTGTTGCATATTCCAGTCCAGTGACGAAGGGCCCAGGCCCCAGAGCCAGCCCATCTTTCCTCTTGTAGTATCGAGCTTTGTGTATAGCAATCAGTGGAGCTCCATCAAGGATTAACCTTGGGGGAAAAAGACACAAAACTGTTTATTCTTCCCAAAATCCATTTTCTGATGGAGCGGGTCATTCTGATTGTGTTTAATGCACTACTTGAGAACTAGGACATTAGAATGAACTAATACAAAATGCCAGGCCCACTTAATAGGCAATTGGTTAATACTTACATAGTAAATATCTACTCTTTTTGGTGTGATATTGATGCAGTTCAAGGGCGACCACAGATATGTTGAATACTCTAAGTATTAACATGCTGTATTGGAGCAAGACAAAGCAATACAAACAGAAATTAAGACATATGGACACCTGCCTGTCTCCAGAAGAGGTTGGTGCTGAAGAACAGTCAGAATTGTGGGGAAGTATTGGTTCAGTCGATTATCACAGTATTCTAACCAAGTATAAAACATTAACATTCCACTGATACACTACTCACAGAATGTAAACCAAAATTATGCTAAGATATTTTTATGTAGTAGACAAAGTTCAATATGTTTTTGACATTTGTTTGGGAAATGAAAGAGGAAGAGGAATAAAGATTAGCTGCATGAAGTTAAATCTGATTTGTGTGTCTTACCTAAAGGCTTTGTTCATTGTTTGGTAGTTGAAGTGGTCAGGAGCTAATCCTATCACCACTGCATTGGGATCAGAGGTCTCAATTCCTACAGAAATAAACAGAATTTCTTAACATTTAATTTATAAACCCCAAGGAATCTTAAGTTAGACTGAACAACAAAATATTGTGTCACAGTTTTCTCAGTGACCAGCAAATGCCTCTTACCAAAACATTTCACCAACCTAAGCCAGGGAAAAATGCAATTACAAACCGGAGAACACATGTGAAAATTGAAGAAAGGCAGATTTAGAAGAGAACACTTCCACAAAGTGAATAACATATACTGATTATTATTTATTATGCCCATAGATATATCAGACATGAACCGATATACTGATTTTTAATTACAATCTCTGCATTTCTGTAATCCTAGCTAAATCCCACTCAGGCCTTGAACAATTTGGCCTTCTTAAACTTCCTTCTTAGATCATCTGCTGAAGGAATATCTCACTTTTCCACATCACCTATTGTGTGGTGGGACTTCTGGCAAACAGTGGCTACCCTGTGACACCCATGTAAGAGCAGCGCTTCAATGGTGGATGAAGTCAGCCCTTTCCTATATGTAAAGTGCTTTGAGATCCCCTGGGATGAAAAGTACATTAAAAAGGCAAGGAAGTAATCATCCATACCTGAAAAGTCTTCCAGAGCGCTATTCTCCACCAGAAGTAGTGGTCTGACATTTTGCTGTTCAACAAGGCTCCTGGCTGCAGTCAAGGAAGTGAAAATCTCAGTCTCTTCAATGTCAAACTCCAGTCTTTTCAGCCTTTCAAACAGGATTCTTTTGCACTCTTTGGTTGTGTTGGTCACAAACTTAACATTGACAGGTGCCCTGCGTAATCTAAAGAAGAGTAAAACAGGAAAAATTGCATATTACAATATAACTTAAATATTTTCATTATTTAACAGCTGAGACAAATATGCCAAGAGGACTTCACATAAGAAGTGACACCAAGACAACAACAGACTATAGATACAGTAGGTTTTACACTCACATGACTGAAAATAGTGCAACTTTATATGTGAGTGCTATTCCAGAAATGTAGACTGCTGTACAACAGCACACATGAAATACACGTAATATAAATAAGTATGTGTGTGTACAAAAGTCACTAGCAATCACTGAGTATTAACCAGAGCAAAACTGATGCCTAGACAACCATTAACATCTCTGTATTGTTGCACTTCTCGATAAGTGGTTCTCAATACAGATACATGCAGTTTCACAAGCATTTAAAACTAAAACTCACAATGTGCTATTTTGAAAAGGTAAGATAGATAAAAAATAGATATAAGTAATGAAAATTAAAGTTTGGTGTACATTGTTGGGTTGGTATGGTTTTGATGGCTCCTGCTCAACGTCCTCATCTTCTCACACTACATCAAACTAACCTGGTGAGAGCTTCTTGTGCTCCAGGAACTGCTGAGTCCTCGATGTGCAGAGTGCCGCTGAGATCGATCAGCACTGCCTTCACAACACGCCGAACCGCCATGCCCAGCTGGAGCTATGCAGACAATGAAAATAGTTGCACTTCAGAAGACCTGCAAGATAGAAAAAAGGGAGTATCATTCATGCTGCATCATTACTGTGGTGAGTAATTTCCACATAGGGGTACTCTTCCGTGGTACAAAATTAGCCTACTCCTAGAACATGACATTGAACTTAACTGTGATAGCAACTAGGACCAAATCCAGGGTTAAGGAAGAAAAAGACAATAAAATATGAGGGTTAGACTAATCCTCACTTTAATTTCCTAAAATGTCGACTTGTGAATCCCCACCTTTCAGAACTACAAACCTACCACGGGTTTTGAAACCACAACTTGTGTCATGCTGCCTAATGGACAAACAAAAAACAAAATTTACATACAGAGTTTTTGTCTAAAATGCTAACATATGCACGCTCACTAAAATCTAATTTAAATCTTGCCATTTAAAATGGCTTTGTAATCATCCTATAGTCAGTACAGTCACAGTGTAGAACTTAATGTTCATGACACATGAAGCCTTGTGACTCACCAAAGGAAAGGCAATATCTCAGAGCACCAGATGTCTGTCCAGCCATTTTTCTTAAAAATCTGTCATCTTTGGTAGCCAGGCAATCAACACAATAATTCGGATTTTAACATAATTGTAAGGCTAGAATGTGCTCAGTATGGCTCATCCAGTTATAACCTGGCCACAACAGACAGACCAGAGATCACTTGGACAAAAATAAGGTATCTAACTGGAACTGCACCAGGCAGCAGCACACACCTCAGCGTCACCGAGGCTGCGTGTGTTTGGAGGCCTGTGATCAAGGCCTGTGACATGCAGGTTTGCATTGTTACCAGCACAAACTGCACCTGTTCTGCATCCAATGCTTAACCCTCCTGTCAGTCTTATGGGGCTTGTGTGTGAGTACTCATTTCAAAATTGGAGCATTCATCCATTCTCTTAACAGGTTTATTTCAATTAAGAGTCTTGGGGAAGCCAGAGCCTATCCTGGCAAGCAACAGGAACAAGCCAGGGTACACCCTTAAGGGGAAGCCATTCACACCAGTTGTCCCAGAAGCCAGTTAACTTGCCAGTATGCTTTTTGACTATGGGAAGAAACTGGAGGACCCAGAGAAAACCCACACAAACTAAAGAGAACAGACAAACTTTATACAGATGATACCCAAGACCCTTGCACTGTGAGGCAGCAAAGCTAACCACTGTACCACATAAAGTGAAAAAGATTATCTTTAAAAAATAAAACACAAGAACACTGCTGTGCCACTTGGGGACAGTAACCTAAAATGTCTATCTGTAGAGCAGCATGACAGCTCTAATGCAGATTATTTAATGCTAACAGCTGACATTTTATCAGTTTATGAAAAACAGAATGGTTTCTGCTGTTTTATTTAGAAATGCTGGATTTGTGCATTTATGTATCAGTCACTGAAAACACAATTAATACTCTTATTCAACGCTTAAATCCACGGATTAGATAAAGGATATATAGCTGCCAATAAGGGTTGGGATGAATGCATTATTTTCTATGCCATGTAAATTTGACAGCTCTTCAATGGATTAAAATATCGTGTCAAATTCATTTACAGAGCACACTCCTCGATACAGACGGAGAGTTATCTATAAAATGCCCATGGCATTTCATCCCCCTTACGTGTGTGTATTCCAGAGAAAAGCCGAGAAAATGTATATACATGCTCATATATACTGATATTTCCAAGCGTTTGTTATTCGGCTAAATAAGAACTACTGTACATAATTACGACAACCATTCCCACAACCGGCTTAAAAATGCAGAACTTTGGCAGCCCTCTCAAAAAAAAAACTATACACTATGATTCTGTTTCACTTTAAGGAGAGATTTTAGCACCCACGGTAATTTATTAAAAACATTCAAGCAACTGTCCTGCTAATGACATGTTTTTGTTTCCAATCACCTACAATATCTCTCGTTACTCACTTCCTCTTTGCGGGGTCCTTCAGTTAATTAGTAGACCTCCGAAGCGCCTGCCTGAACTGTTGAAACTTCAGTGAGCTGAGGCAGCCGCCAAGATGAGCCGACAGCATACGAGCCATTCAGACGTATTAGAACGTTGTAGTTAACTTTTATTCTTTTTTATCCTGTGGGTTTTGATTAACGTTACATAGTAGTTTCCCTTTAGCTCAACTTGCTGGGTTCTTGTTGAGTGACGCCGGAGGCCCGGGTTCGAATCCCTAACGGTAGGGGTGCTGGCCTGAGGCTGCGAGGGCGCATACCGACGTGAACCCGAGAGCGCTACAATATTTTTTGTTGGTCTAAACCATTAAAATACAGAAAAAAAAAGCAATAGGCAATATCAGGCCAATAGGAGTCATAATTAGAACTGCTATTATACTTCATGAATATATCCAATTTTAACCCTCTTGCAAATCATAGAGGACTGGCTCTAAATTCAGAATTTAACAATTGTGTGTTAAAACCCCGGATCTGACACTGCTGTTGTACCTTGAAGGTACTCCGATTACTCCAGAAAAATGCCAAACTGAACAAATTAATGTAAATTTTACACAGCCAAAAAACTGAATATTAACATATTTGCATACACCAGTAAATACAGATCATCAACAGGATCCTTATACTGTATGTGCCTCTGTAATAACAGGACACCTTTCAAAGGTCTTTGTTTACATGCAAAATGTGCTAAAAACTTTTTTTAATTCATAATCAAATATAATCCAGCATATTCATCATGTTAATGTAAACATATATATGGTATGGTTAATTAAAATATATCCAACCAATCCTTGTTGTAAACATAGATGGAATGATTAAAGAAAATATTCAATTCTTTTGAATAGTGGCATCATATGCCTCAGTATTTTAAAAAACTAAGTGTGGACACCCAAAATATAACCAATGTAGGTTGACAACCACCTCATAGGAGGCCATTTTAATGGGAAATGTTTGTGTTAATGAAATAATTTTCATGGCCATTTTTCATTTATAACATGGGGTTTATGTTGAGCCTGTACTTTGTGTTTAACTGTAATTCTTGTCATCTGTGTTTTTAATTCTGAGGAAGCAGCTCTTGTAATTATACTGAATTTTTAATGTTGAAGGGAGTAGGGGGTTATTTCAAATACCAAGATCATTTGATTTTTAGGTTTATACTCTATTTCCAAAACATAGCGGAGGTATTCTTTGCCACTACATTACAGATGGTTCACTTACAAACCAAGTTAACTGTAAGTACTATAGACAGGAGATAACTGAAATAATGTGATATGTCACAAATATCCTCAAACACCAATTACCAATTAACATTCCTTAATTACTTTTGTCAGATAACTCTACACACAATTCCATTCTGCATTTTACCTAACTCCGCCTCCCTTTCATGAAATTGAAACTGAAAAAAAATACGTGGTAGTCCATAAACTGTATTTATATTAAAACCTATCAGTTTCAAAGTACTAAATTCTTTAATTACTGTATTGTGAAAATACAGACACAAAGATTAATTCAAAAGAAGAAATCTACTGAGCAAGAACCATGTGAATCCTCCCTCATGCTGTTCAAAGAGGGTTCATAGCTTCCTTTGCTAATCATTTAAGCGGGTTAGGGATAGCTTAATCACTCGTTAAAAACATATGTATTCCACTATCACAAACATATTTGCTGCATTTAAGGTATTTTGCCTAGGAATACATTTAAATGCAAAAAAAATGTTATTTAACTTTTATCAGTCACAAGGTTTCAGAACAGAAACAACTAGATATAATTGTTAGATATATCAATCAAGTTTATAATGTTTAAGGCTTATACAGTGTATGGTAGTCCAATACTATTCCTCATAAATTAAATTCATATTCTTTATTAATTATATTCTTATTTCCAGAATTATTATTGGGTAATGTGTAAAACATTGATTGCCATGATGTTTGGTGTCTTCAGATTCATAAGGTTATCACAGTTACAGTACTTCAACTAGTGGCTAAACGCTGAATGAATACATGCTGATTTCAAACACACATTTTTCTAAATGCTTCTGCAAGTTATTGAGTAAAATAAATCAATTGCTAGCTGTTTGAAATACTTTTAAATTAATTCTATACACATAGAATTTTACAAAGTTCATAAACCATAGAGAACTGTACCATGACCACTTTAAAAATGGTAATTTTACTGCTGTGTTAATATTACCTCATTCAAAATGTTAACTTTCTTTAGAGAGATGTAAAAATACTATCAGACACTTCTTGTCTCAGTCTTAATTCCTGAGATTTTGAAACTCCTTTCTGTATGTTCTGTATGTGTACATTGTCTAAATTATTTTTGCACCATTTTATTGATTTTCTAACTAGATTTTAAGTGGATTTATTTATCATTTTGTCCATGTTAATGTCACAGAGTGAAAAGGGTGGGTGTTTTGGCACTAGGTGTCTAAGACTGCATGGATGTTAATGTTGCATTGATGGGCCACTGACACCCTAATGTTGATAGTTTCATGCCTTATCCTTTGCAGTTTGACAGGTTTGACTGGAGCTGTGATCAAGGGGATGGAGTCCTAAGAGAGAACAGTTTGCAATTGAACAATACATCATTACATCTGGCCATTTGTGTACAGCCATTTCCTGAACATGTCCTGGGCACATCCAAAACATCACAGGAACACTCCTACCTCCCAGAGCAGGCAAGAGCCCTTGCTAAAAAGGATTCAAAACCCCAATTAAGAGAAAACAGAGGACTTTTGGAAGAAGAAAGGGTTGTGTGACAGATTACGAATTGGACCCCGGAGAGGCCTCAGACACTAGGGACTCTACAGGGAGTGGCTGAGGATGACTCAGGTATCACCTTCCTCCCACTCATCTGATACTGGACAAAAAAGGTAGGGGGAGCATGAGCGCAATATTGTTCAGGACAGCCAGGACCAAGGAAGATGCCTAACAACCACCAAGGGAGCTATAAGGAGAAAAGCACTGCTGGACTGCATTATTTTGGGACATTTGTTTGGTAACTGGGGTCTATTGTGGTCCTTGTGACTGGTCTGGAATGTGTGTTTTTTTTTTTTGGAGTTGGTTTTGTATAATGTACCCTGGGTGTATACCAAGTGCTGTGGTCATGAAAATTAAAATGGCACTAGTGTCTGTTGCTGGTCTGCATGTGCACAAGTGACTCTGGGAGATAAGCAGAACCCGTGACTAGGGAAAAGAGTCCTAGCATCCTTTGTAATTGCTAGATGGCACAGTCGTTTACAATGTAAAGTAATTCCTGACTTTGGGTCTCACCCAATCCGTGATATTAACATTGAACTATAAGACAGCACTATAAGAAAAATTGAAAACTGTTCTTTAAGGAAAATCCACTCTTCTAGAGTACTGTGAAAAAAGTATCTGTCTCTCGTCTGATTTTTTGCATATCTGAATTTGGCCATATCTTTTGGTGGGTCATAGTAGTAAATAGATCAGGGTCTGAGAGAACAAAATGACATCAAAGTTTGGTTCTTTGATTTGTTTGGTGTGCAAGCAAACCAAACACGCAATCTTCGCCCCCATAGTGAACATAACCCAATTTAAGGGATAATTAGGGTCAGCTGTTAGAATATTTTTATTAACAATCAGGCCTGTTTTATGCCATCCCTACCCAATATAAATCTAACTAACTCTGGGCCTTACCAACAGTTGTTAGCACATAGGTGTTAAAGGGACATTATGCCACAATCAAAATAAAAACCTGAAAACCTGCTATTTCTAAGGCTCTTTGGCTTCACCAAACCATAGTCAGAGCCATATTGTCCAAATGGAGACAGTAGTGAATCTTCCCAGGAGTGGCCATCCTGCAAAAATCTCTTGGAGAGAAAGGAGTATAATTGTTGAGGAAGTCACAAAGTGCACTAAAACAACAACTAGAGATCTGAACGGCTCTCTTGCCTTGGCTAAGGTCAGTGTTCCGCTATCAAAAAGACACTGGCCAAAAATGGAATATATGGCAAAGCAGCAAGGCAGAAACCACTGCTCACTATGAAGAACATGTTCTATGGACAGATGAGTCAAAAGTGAAATGTTTTGGCTGACATGGGCACTGTTATGTCTGGTGAAAACCAAACACTGCTTTCCACAGTGAGAACCTCATACCATTGGTCAAGCATGGTGGTGGTAGTGTCATGGTGTGGGGATGCTATGCAGCACCAGGACCTGGATGACTTGCCATTGCTGAAGCAAGAGTGAATTCTGCATCATATCGGAGAATTCTACAGGAGAATATCAGGCTAAAGCTGAAGCTTAGTTGGGTCATGCTGCAGGACAATGATCCAAAACACACTAGCACGTCTACATCAGAATGGTTGAAGAACAAGAAATTTAGCCAACTTTTAAAAAATGAACGATTTAAACACGTTTTGGAATGGCCTCAACCTCCAAACCTAAATGTGATGTCAGTGAACAAGCAGTTCATGCTCAAAAACACACAAATGGCATTGAGATGAAGCAGTTCTGCATGGAGGAGTAGACCACAAGTTTTCCACAGCCTACTACACAAAATGACTGGTTGCAGTTATTGCTGCTTCAGGTGGCCTAACCAATCACTCATGGCAAGTACTTTTTCACAGGGGGCATTGGGTTGTGCATAACTTTCTTTAATAAATGAATGAAATAAGTATCAACATTTTGTTTTGGTGGAAGACCTGATAACATTCACTGTGAAAAACAGCACTTTATGCTGAAAAGGAAAATAACTGAATCAAAATCAAATTCACTTATATTTAAATGTATGACGATAAATACAGTTAAACACAAAGTTACATAAAGTGTCTTACATTATTATTATTATTATTATTATTATTATTATTATTATTATTACTCAGTACCAACTGACAACTGATGTTCAGAGCTGATGTTCCTCAGAACAAGAAAAAGTTTATGCCACAACATACTTTACAGTATATTAGTCACCTGTGTCCAGAAAAAAATAATAATTGTAATATTTCTAGGTTACAGTCTGAATGATTAAAACATCCCAGACATAGATCTGACTTATAATACATTTGTGCAAGAAGTAAATCCATGTTATTTTAGGCTCAGAAAATACCAAACTAATCTTAGATTAAACCGGGTTTTATAGTTGATCCCTCTCATAAGCATATGGTTGTGATTCTACAAAATCCCAACTTTTACATATTAAGGATAATGTGAGCTTTAATAATAAATACTGCACTCCCGCACCTCTAACAAACACTAAAAAATTAAATTCTAAAAAATATTATCCATATTTGAAGACCTGGGCTAAACATTCAAGATATTGTAAATGTCATTGAAATTCATTGTCAGCAGCTTACAGAATTGATACTACTCAGGTTCTGACCTCTTTACTTCCATTATTAAAAAATTATGATCATGTATAACAAAAATGTCTCTCTTGAGGTCTTCAGTATGATGGCTGACATTTTAGTGCTAATCTAACCCATTTATAATCCCAGTCACAAAACAAATACAATTGCTTTAAGGCCTTTCTAATTTGGTGTGCATTTTACTATAAATGTTGTGTTAATAAGATGGTATACGTCTGCAAATTGTACAAGGTAGCACATCCTGGAACCCAGAATACACGAGAGTGCAGTGATATACATTACTGTTTTAGTTAATCTAGTCTCTATTTGTAAATTTAGTCTCTGGTAAATTACTCACTAATTTAAATTCATTTAAAAAATAAATGAAAGAGTACCAAATACTCAAGTAAATAACAGTCATGAAAGGAACAAAATATTTTAATTCAAAATCACCATATACTGTAAGTATTAAATCAAATAAAAAACAACTTTTCACCAAATGTAGTTTTTCACATTAAAAGGCTAATATTGTAAGAGTCTGAATCACAGGTTGTGTTAATGGTACAAAATTAAGGTATAGAGGTATGAGTCAAAAGTTTGAGTCACCACTAATCACAAATTACAAACCCAAAACCCAGCGGCACCTTCTTTTTATGATAGTTATGATAGTTACATATTAGATGTCCATTAGGTGTCATTATGTCCATCAAATACTGGACCGTGGTTTGCTCTTTGGAGGATGGATTGACATTATGATTTTAAGCTTGGTCTAAACCACCAGTGCTGCCAAACTGAGTCAAAGCAGCAATGATAAAACATCTCTCAAACTAACAAGCCATGGCCAAGAGGGTTTAATAACTGAGGAAGAAAGCACTTTACATCATGATCAAAAAAGAACAGGACGCAGTTAAAGAAATTAATGTTATACTGTATATTACAAGCATAAGTATAAAATGGTAAAGAAAGATTTAAAGTAATTTTGTATTGGGTGTTTTTCAGTATTACAATGGCAAAATAATCTGAAAAGATGTACATTGGGTATAATATCAGGAAAAAGTATAGATAAAAATATAAATGATAAAAAATAAATGGCTAATGTAATAAATAAATATCTCACTCAAGTTTACACCAAAGAAACAGTCATCATGTCTTAGCCTGATGAAGGATTAAAAAAGTAATACAGAAGGGGCAGATGTGTTGCAGGTACTAGAAGAATTTAAGATTTTACATAAAATCATACTTGAGGAAATGAAAAATGCCACCTTTCGGGGCATTAAGAAAACTCTTTGAGTTGCCACACAAGTCAGTGGTAATGCCCATTGACTGAAAAAGTGCTAACGAAGGAATCCAAACATAAAAAGGGTGACAAAACCAAATAAAGTCATTATAGATAAAAACGTCTAATTTCTGTTTAATGCAAGATAACAGGATCATCGGTATGAATTCCAGGCAATAAATTTAGAAAAGGAAGATCTTACTTAACTTATTAATCTAAAAAAAAGCAACTGCAGTAATGGGCAGAGCATGATATAGTAATCGTGATTATCAGAATTGTTTTTAATTAAACCTCCTCATAATTCTCAGATTGCAGAAAGTAGGCATTTTAGGTAACGAAGTAAGATATACAGACCAAAGAGTATAAAATGGTTGAATACTCTAATTGGGGTTATGCAATTAGTGGAGTATCAGTATTAATAATCTAGTTTGATATAATTAGTAAACTGTGTTCACAAACAACATGAAAGGGGAATTAATAAACACTGTAATAGTTGTACAGGAAATTAAAAAAGATTTAGATGGAATTCAAGCCTGAGGAGAACACCAGGCAGATGATATTTAATGTAGATGAGAATACATTTTTACTGTGTATGCACTGGGGAAACAAACTATAAGACAGTACACAATTAGCTTGAAGCTTTTGTAAGACTTAAGTGTTTTTGTTGACAACTTTTCATCTACAGTGCCTTGCGAAAGTATTCGGCCCCCTTGAACTTTTCAACCTTTTGCCACATTTCAGGCTTCAAACATAAAGATATAAATTTTTTATTTTA